CCTGGCACCCACTCGGCCGATTCTCTTAAAAAAAAAAAAAAAAAAAAAAAAAGAACATGGATCGCCAGCAAGAGTGGAGAGGGAGTCAGAGTTAGTGGCCACCAGATCTGGCGAAGCTAATCCCAAAGCATCGAAGACTTTCTCAACAATGTTTGAGAACACAATCTTCTCCTCGGAGCAAGAGGGTACAGAGAACCAAAGCCACGTACAAAAAGTACTTGAAGCCCTGCAGAAACAGGGCTCAGCCAACGTGTGCAATGTCAAGGTCTTGAAGGACTTGGACTCACAGGCCAGCGCTCCCAGCGGAGGATAAGCAACTCGAGACGCCACACACCAATTCAACTCCCAAGCTACAGCTGCTGCTGTGACAGCCAGAGCTCAGGGAGAAACTGAGGCCCTTAACACAACGGGATTTATTCCCGTTAACCCTACAACAGCAACAAGCTCAGGCAAAAGAACGAAATCCCCCTATAAACAGAGGAGAACGGGACACGGGTTGGAGGAGAGAGACTGTGTTGAGCACTCAGACTCCTCACCTGAGCTGGCAAGGAAATTGCCAAATCAGAATTCAAAGCATGGGCAATCTCCATCAGCGGAGTCCCCCAATCCCAAACTTGGCATGGAACAAGAATGGCAGATCACGCAGCCAACTGCTACAGCAGAAGATACAGTAGCTGCCAAGAATCTGCAAACCTGAATGTGAATCAGGATTCAGACTACAATAATGTTAAAACGTTGCAGTCGGAGAACAAAGACAAGGTCATAAGGAGAATCGTCCCCATCATCTGCGTGTCAACAATGGCCGACGTCATGTGCCTTACCATCGATGTCGGACAGGGAAGGAAAGTGCTCCCAATCCTTCCACGAGAGGAAGTGGGCACCCCCTCTGATCTAGTAATCTTGGACAAGGCACGGAAGCTCCTAATGGACAAATGTCCGAGAATGATGAAAGGGTACAAACTGGAACATCGCACACTAGTGGGAAATTCAGATGTGATGTACCTGATCTTTGTCCCTATTTTGGAAATAAGACTTTCACCAACAGCTGCAGAGGAACTCAGACAGGCAGGTGTCTCCTGGTTTCCCTTGCAGCTGTTAACCAACCCCCATGCGGGAGAATTGGAAACTCTGATGCTGGAAGATGGCATTCATCCTAGATTTATTGCAGACATACACAAAAGTATCCCAGCAACAGAGAACTTCCTATAACCCCATTTCAGGAAGCTGCTGAAAGAAGCATGGGCAGACAAGGCGGGAGTGGAACCTGGGAAAAAAGGGAAGTCCCCTCAATCTTAGGGAACCACGGGTGCCCCAGGCGCCAGGCACACGAGTCGTATCCAGTCCTCAACAGGCTCAGCAGTAGGCAATGGTTCTCAAACTTGAGTTACACATTCCCACCTGGAATGTGAGAGGATTCGGCGACACCAATCGCCGTCATAAAAAATCTAGACTAAAGTCATGGATTCACAAAAATCAAGCAAATGTCATTTTCTTACAGGAAACGAAGCTCAATTCTGAGAGAATCTCCTCCCTAGGTCGCTGGTGGGAGGGACCTCAATGGTGGTCCCCTGCACAAGGGTCGAAAGGAGGGGTCGCCGTCCCACTTCACAAGAATCTAAATTCGGTAACCATCTACGAATACGTAGACATTTGGGGTAGATACATTTGGATTAAAGTTCCGATCGATGAGGTGAAACGGTAATCACCAGTTCGCAGTAGCGAATGCAGATCCCAGGGCTCGATCCCTAGTTCCCTATCTTACCTGTGTACAGTATTGATGTCAACCCGTAGACTTGAACCCACGACCTGTAGGATCGCCAGTGGTAGGCAGGGTTTCGTAGGTCACAGCGTAGAAGGGAATCGAACTGTAGACCTGTAGGGTAGGAGTCTAGACAGTCCCAAAGTCGTAGCTGTAGGATGCCTGAAGAGTCAAGGTCGTAGCTGTTACTTACCTGAAAGGGCAAAGTCGCAGCTGCTACAGTACCGAAAGGCCAAGTTCGAGACTTCTAGAAGTGGCCTTTCGGAGTTGGCCTGTGTTCAACAGAGGCAAGTGGTCAAGTGGTGGTAGTCCACCTAGCCCAGTCAGCAGTCCCAGTTAGTCAGTCCGGTCYTGTTCAGCAAGTACCGTCTGGGACTGTGTGCACAWTGTGGGCCAAGGGATACAGGGCAGACCAACGCAGCGCAGAAGTAWAAATCAAGAGGCTGCGTCCAGCCATTCATTCATTCCTGCGGATGCTATGCGGAAGCGCTGCCCCAGCAGCTTGTSCAAGGAGGTCTGCAGTGCGCCCGGAGACGAAGAGGGCAGTGAAGTGTAGTGTAGYGATAGGATAGTGGMAGCCATAGCWGCCATAGCTATAGTAGTGTGTGTGTGTGTGTGTGTGTGTGTTGCGTGTAGAGTGTTGCGTGTGGGACATCCAGGGTGATCCAGAGTGCGAACAGTGAGTTGTGTGGGCGCTCAGTCGCCATAGCCAGTTGAAGAGAACTCCTACCTGGTTACGATATCTTGAGTACTGTGTGGGCGCATGTCGCCAGTTTGCTGTTTCGCTGTTTGCATGCATGACAAGTGTGAAGAAGTCAAGTCTGATTGCAGAGGAGTGCTGGACTTTTATGAATATATATATATCCCATCTGCCTACTCCGAGAGATTAGAATTCCTCACGGAACTACCATCAATGGTACCAGACTCCTCAGAGACAAGGGAGTACAAGATTGGGTAAAAGAATAGATTGCTGATTGGGAACAAGCCAATGAATACTTCAATTCATAATCACAATGGTTTGATGCAGGCCTCAGAGTGATCTCTCAGGGCCTTAGCATCCTTTCAAAAATCAAGGAGCTCCAGAAGAAGAAAGAGAAACAAAAATGTCTGAAACTGATTTTGGAAGAAGAACGCAAAGCAACAGGCCACCCTATTTCAGTAACCTACTGGTTAATGAAACGGGCGGAGTATATGAACAAATGGGAAGGAATGCAAGTTAAGAAAGTAGAGGAACGGACTGGAAAGGCAAGAATAAAGAATTTAATTACAGCGGACATCAAAGATTACAACCATCAAGGAAACAAGTTTCAATGAAAGAGTTAGCTCATCCCTGCTCAAGGTTAGTGTTGCCGGCCAACACGTTAGATGGGATGTGCGAGCATGCGCGCATATACTTTCAAGACATCCTTACATCACACAGAAGACCAAAACTTTGCAGCCTTTGCACCTTTTTGGGAAGCCACTACGGTGGCCTTAAGCCAAGGTGAAAAGAAGATCTGGATAAACCCATCAGCCTCAAAGAACTCACACAAGCAAAGGCTCAAATGGCCCTTCGCAAATCTCCGGGTGAGGACGGACTGCCGGTAGAGTTCTACTCTGCATTCCAGTCTGAACTATCTCCGGCCTTGCTTAAGATCTACAACAGCGTGCTGGAAGGTGAATCTTTGGCTACGGGCATGACCAAAGGAATCATATCATTGATGTATAAAAAAGGGGAGAAATCAGACATAAGGAACTGGCGTCCAATCACATTATTAAACGTATCTTACAAGTTGTTGGCCAAAACCCTGGCAATCAGGCTGGTGCAATCAGACTCGTCTTCTTTCTTGCTCAGCATGCATGCAAACAAATGAAAATCCACACCGGCGTCAGGCTCCCACACAAAGCTCAGAGATATTAAGCCGAGAACACAGTTCAGATGCAAACTCGCTTCGAACTGGCTATGGCGACTGAGCGCCTACACATCACCCTTCTTACACTGTAGCCACAACCAGGGTTGGTCCCCAAGCAGGGTTTTGTGCCCCACCCTGGACCCCCCCCCGGGCCACACCCACCACTGGTGGAACCGGGGCAGCTGCGAGTGCGGGGGCAGGGGTGGAGGGTCGGGGCCGGGGGCGAGGCGGGGGCGGGGCT